AAAATGAAATGAACATTATATTCCATAGCTTTTTTTTTGATAATTGCAACTTAAAGACTTAATATTTTTCCCATATTATGACTTCAAACATTCAATGACAGAACAGAAACACCCTTGTAGATGTCAGCATGCTTCTCTCTCGCTGCTTTGATCCAATTTCATGAAGAATTGGAACAGATATATAAACTCCATGATCACAGAATTATGTAGAATCAACAAAAATACCAAATTCTATTCATTCCAGATCAGATAGAAAAGTTTTTACAATGAGCATTCATTAACAATATGACTCCAAATTTCAATTTTAAGTAGACCCAAAACGCCATTTTTTTTCTCAAAGTTATGTCTAGCATGTGACTAAGTTCAAATTTGTCTGAAATATTTTTTATTGAATCCAGGTATATGCAAGGATTGTTGGTAATGGCAAGTAAAAGGTCCAGTTAGTATAATGGCATTACTGTAGTCATTTGGCATTTTCTTATGAAATACTTTTGTCTGTCAGTTTTTTACACTTTTGTAAATATCTTACTTGGTTGTGTTGAATCATCTGAACACATCACATTCAAAGGAGATTTAAGCAGATTACATTCAAAAACACCCAACTAGCATTGAATTAAACCATAATTCCACTCCATCATTTAACATAATTAAGGTCCCTTAGTGGCCAAGTGGTCTAAAGTGCTCACCTTTGCTGATCACTGCCATCTCACCTCTGTCTACTTGGGTTCAGGTATGTGGTTCAGCCAATATGTGTATATGAGAAAGCTTGCTGCTAGATCAGGGGTTCTTACCAAGGGTTTTAGTGGGTTCTTCCACAACCACTTATACAGACCATCATGTATAATCTGTCATGTGCTGAAAAATGGCATTATAACCAAAACAAAAATGTAATAATGTCAAATTATATTTACGTGTGTGCACACAATGATGTTTAATAAAAAATTTAAAAAATCCTTGAATTTTGGGCTTGCTTTGAAAACTCCCCACATTCAATAAATTTGGTGTTAGCCATGAAATGTACTTAAATTTTCCCCCAAAACAAACATTTTCTGACAGAATACAAAAATTAAAGCTGATTCAAATATATCACTTTTTACATTCAGAATTTTTAAAATGTATCTTTGAGAAATTGTAAATAAATAAATAAATAAAATGGAATAAAATTACATGGATGCAATAACATATGATACAGGTAGTTTTCCATTGCCCTTTTGCAGTAGTAGCATGCTGATTATGTTATATACTTTTTTTTACAAGTTTATATAGGGATAAATAAAGTAACATATAGGGAATGTTTCATTTCCACTTAAAATACATACCTGGAAACTTTCTGAGAAATCCTTTAAAGGTCTCTGAAAAAAAGACTAAGGGTATGAATCATGTACAGGGTACTTCTATTTTTCTAAAGTAAAATCATAATAGGGCAGGAAATTTGGATTTGAATATGCAAATCCCAATGACATTCACCAACAAAAAGAAGTATTAGAGATGGAGAAAGCTTTGTGTTTTCACTGACTATCTGACCCCATCCATCCGAAAACCCAATACAAATAAGTAAACCCTACCCTCAACCATCTCCCAAAACAGTATAGAAGATAATTTTAAAATCATTCTGTTTGGTTATTTTATCACTCATAACCTTTTGTATGGGGTAAAAAACTGAATACATCATAATTGTAAAATCTTTTTGAGATGTCTTTGACTCCAAAATATTGAGATTCAGCTCTTTATTTTAAATATGACACAGAATTCTGTATTATTGGAACTTAGGTGCTAATTTCACTGTCCTGGACTGGGGGAATACAGCAGTTTATGACAAGCTGGTCCAAATTGTGTAATCAGATTCAGGATAACTTTTTTTTCATTAAAAGAAGAGAATGAGTTTGGATAAAATGGTGTAAGGATATTTTTCCATTCTCATATCATGTAGCAAAGTTTTCCAACAAGAACATCCCACCCTTCTGTTAATAGTTATTATCAAAATATCAGCTTGTCATGGTGTTTCTGATAAAATTTTTGTGATTATTTTTAATTTAAAACTATTTAAACTGCTCCATGAATGAAAGTATGCCCATGTTATACTCTTATAGGCTGAAATATGGACAGATTGCAGATATCTTTCATGTAGGCACATATGGACAATGTGCTTGGAATGACATAAAAGATATTTTAATTCTTGTACATTTTTCCTCGCTTTTTTTTCAAACCTTAGATTAAAAGATACATCTCCTGTTATTAACATTTTTGGGGGGAAGCTTATTATCTAAGTGAAAATTAAATATTTTACTTTCATACCTTGTTGTAAATGGTAGCTGGCTGCTTTGACATATGCAGATTTGGAAGGAAGACGCAAGTTGGTGCAGAATGTCAGAAAGAATTGTATTAGATTATTTCACACTGAGAGACAATAAAAGAGAATCTCTTGTTGAAACTGAATAAAATGATTTTAAAAAATAGTATAGCAAGTACAAGCAACAAAGATTAACACTTTATTACAACCAAGCTTGATATACAAGAATGTCAAAATGGAACACATTTACAATTGATAAATATTTTTTAAATTGTAGATCATGTATACAAGCTAAAAAAATATTGCTTTGATACAGTACATGTAAATAAAAGCATTAGATACAATAAATCACACAATAACCTTTTACTTGCATGTTTTGAGAATGCTATTATCACTTGAAATATGTTCCTTAGTGACCCATATTTCAAAAGAAAGAAGGCTAAATTTGTCTCATTTGAGAATTGGCCCACTTTTTGAAAATTATAGTAGTAACGTTGTATTATGTATAGTTATCACTCAATGGAAGTCCTGTATAAAAAAGACAAATCTTCATTTTTGTTGTATTTGTGTTTTGTATATTGTGACATTTAATAGTTAGCACAGGAAATATGTTGGTTTTTTTTACATGTACATGTTCTTGCCAATGCTTCAGTGTTTCTGTACTTTCTAATTAAATTATGACAAAGAGAGTAATATTTCTGTCACCCCCGTTTATCCCAGGGAATAAAAAGTGATATCCTTAATCAGAAATAAAGTTTCAGCTAAGAAATAAAAAGTTAATGTTAAATTCTTTCATAGTACAGATGCTGTACTTAAAATTAGTGACTATGCAAATCATTTTATATTTTGAATTATTAAGGTGGCATCTTAGATTGATAAGCTTTATTAATGTCAAACTTGGTAGATTAATTTATTCTAGTGGGATTTAAACTGTTGGTTAAGTTGTGCATCAAAATACATTTTGAGAACAAATTTTAAAATCTGTATTTTTAAGGAAGAGTATTTTAAATATGCCAAGAAAAACAAAAAGGTATGTAATGCTGTTGAACAGTTGTATTAAAATACAGGTGTGAATGTGAAACAGGTGTACACAGACCTGTCATATTAAGCTGTATGTTGCATGGAGGAATGTTTAAGTTTCTGGAACCTGTTTTCAGTGAATTATCCATGAACACAAATATACGTTGATATTTATTTGCATTAGAATCAATATTTATTGTGCACATATTTAATTGTATTGTTGTTATTATTAATTGCAGGTTATTAATTGTTAATGATTGGCAGTATGATGATGATGAAGATTAAAAACTCCTTGCATCATTTGTCTTTTTTGTCTTATGAGTACTAAAGTTAGCATGTTCTCTTGTTGAGGTGTGCATACATGCATAGCTCATTCTTGTGTAGATAGTTCTACACTCTGATGATCGAGTGAAAGCATGCTATAACATGAATTTTAATTACAGTATAACATAAATTTCGATATTGCATGATTGTGGTGTGGCTGCAGAAATTTTTATAATAATTACACCAGTTTCTTAAAGTACTAAATCGCCCAAATAAGGACTCGATTTAATAATTTTGCAGTGTGTGTTGTATTCTTAAAGAAGATATATCTTGCTCTATTTTGAAAAAGCTGTTAGCTCCTTAAAAAGCTGATAATTAGCAGTCAACATTATTAGTGAATCATCAACAAAAAAGCTATCTCTTTATGTTTATATTCAGTACATCTTATTAACAACTGTTGCTCAATCCAAGGTTTAAAAAAATAGCTACAGACAAGTGGAGCACATTTTATGATTTCACTGTCAACAGAAAATATGTTGCTTATTTTTTAATTACAGGTACATCTTTTGGTAAGCAAGTAATGACAGAGTTGATTAAATAGGGCTAATTTTCCGCCCTTCCATGTTCTGTTTTAGACGAGAATTGCGACCCAATTGTAGGCAGCCCGGTGGACGCAAGTTTTCCTGCATGTTCGAGCATGTCTTTCGGCCAGTAAGATTGGGTCTATAGGATTTATATTGACCTGAATCACATGTGCTCGACGCGAGCTTAAGATTGAAAACAAAAATCAATAATCCGAAGGAAAAAGATAATACCTATTTAAAAATTACCCCCATGATCCGTTCTGACATAGGGCATTGTCTATCATACTATAAAAAGAGTCCAGGTATGTAAGTTCTGAAAACTTAATTTCATGCTTGACCCTCGATCTCCTTGTGCTGTTCCGTCTTTAAAGACACACGACCACAAATCATGGATTGTTATACTTCTGAGATATTTTTCTTTTCATCAAGCCATCATTGACCTTTCTACGATGCACCAAACTGAAGTTAATGGCTCCAAAACGTAGGGAAATGCGCGAATTTTCCTGCCGGGACAAACTTGAGCTCTTGTTCAACGATCTCCATTTATTTTGTTACGGTGTTTGCGAACCTACGATTCATTCCTTTGTTAATTTGAGAACAGTGATAGATGCATAAAAATGTTCTTACAATTAACTATATTTAACTTTAGAAATCTTGTTCCATAGAATTATTATACATTTGTCATCTGAAGTAAACAGATCGATAACACATTGCACTCATTTTCAAAACATCCCGACTTTGCGACTCGCACCTCAACGGCGAAATTGATTGTCTCGAAGGGTAGTACTTAAATAACGCCCATGTATCTGCTTCATGATATTACCTTTTAAGCCTACCGTTCAGGTAGCCTAGTGGTTAAAGAAACCGCTTTGGATGCGGGAGGTCGCGAGTTCGAACCCCGATCGAGTCATACCAAAGACTTTTTAAATGGTACTAATAGTTTCTCGCTTTGCGCTCAGCATTAAGAGGTTAGTGTTAGGACTGGTCGGCCTGGTGTCAGGACAATGTGACTGAGAGGGATATCATGCTACGTGTCTGCGGCATGATGCTCCAGTGCTGGACATCACTATAAACTGTCACACTGCAGACATAGTAGCCATATGACTGAAAATTACATTAAAAATCTAAATCACACACACACACACACACACACATCTTTTAAGCCATTCATATTTCGTGGTTAATCCCATCAACATTGAAAAATACACGTTTCGACTAGGCCAGTTGCAATTCTTTCAACTCTGCTAAGTTTCTGAATTCCATCTTGGCATCAACATTGCAGAGGAGAGCGATCTTCACTTTATGATTACTTGTCGATAGGGTGATACTGAACAAGCAAATGAATTTACTGGTATGAAAACATGAGAGTCTGGAAGAAATTTTCTGAAATTAAGTTGCCACCGATTGAGGCCTTCTGTTCCGTGAAGGCATTTCCAACAACGACGACACGCACACGAACAACGTCTGGTTCAAAAATTGTCGAAATCTCTGACTGCCACGGTCTGTATTGGCGCACAGACATGCTGCTGTTTGCGGATGTTCTTGAGACTTTTCTTGATACCGTCATGCGTGTGTAAAAGCTGGATCCTGCTAACAAGATCTACGACGGTTAGCGCGTATTTGTATGTGCGTATCATTTCCGAATATTCTTTGTCACTGTACATGATTGTATTGTCATAAATAGGTGTAGATGCCGCTTCTGTTTCCACTGATTATACAAAAAGACGTCGAAATGATTTACCCTTGACGGTAATCACAAATAGCTTAGCTGTCTTTGTCGTCGTCAGTATCTACGCTGTCTTCATTGAATATTTCATTACCATCACTTGGTGTTTCGTTGTCTTCAAGCTCGTCAACGGTTAAACTCACTCGCACCGGTAACTTTCTTTTTCTTGTACAATATCATGTAGTAACTTTTCTGGCGTTTGATTGTATTATTCAGCAAGGTATCGTCATGGTTGCTCCAACGTGATCCGTAAACCGGTTAATTTTTTAAGACGCTTAAGAATATGTGTTTTGAAAAATTATATAGCATCTTTTGGGCCTCTCTGATGCATCGATATGAAGTATTCAAGCTAAAGAGTGATTTATTTTTTTTCCTTTGATGTTGCAAACACCATTGTTCTGAAAATTAATTCCCGCATTAGCTGCAGATGTGAATTCTTTCAAAGTACTATTATGTGTCCAACTATGTGGTTTCTAATTGCATTATATAATAGTCCACTTCAATTCTCTAATAGTAAATCTCGTTATGTATCGGTGGGAAAACCTTTATGGCAAGGAGCTTTACCACCCGTGGGTGCAAGCGCCTCATATGTGGGTTATAATCACATATATCCAGTGGGGACAAGTCATTGGGAACTAGAAGGATTTCAGACCTTGGAATTGAAATTGATAAGCCGAACTATAACGCCCATTTACTCAAATTAGCCATATCTCCATGACAACTCACGAACGCATAAATTAGTCATCTTGACAAACCTCATGATAGAGCATCCAGACTTAGACATATCCTCCATTCATCCCTGATTAAGCTCCGGATGATATTTTTTTAATTGAATCATATTATCAAAGATTCGATGAGAAACTATTTGAAACCTGCCATGCTTTTGGAAGTGAAGATTTCAGGTGTAGGAACAACATAAAAAAGAATACAAATTGACATTTGATAATTTGGGCAATCAGTCTGAGAAAGTGTGTAGAGGTGCATGTTAAGTACTTCGAGGGGACGCACTGACGTACAGTTTACTAATAAAGAGCTTTTTTCATACAGCGCGCCATATTCATAACTTCTTTAAATACCCATAGTAACGTAGCTTTGAGCAAAACCAGAGTATACGTGAGGTTTTAAGGATTCTAACGGCCACTGCTATGTAATTCTAGGTAAAGTAATTACGTGTAGTGCCTAGGTTATTTTTATATCGCCTAATGAAATTTCTCAGACTTAAATTCTTAATATTAACAGTTCTCAATCACATAGCCGTGACTTATAATTAGTAACGAAAATAAAAGTTGCAAGGTCCTTTGAAAAACAAACTGATCTGCTGTTGAATTTTTTTCTTCCAAAAATCAAACTTTATATATTATAACCACATTTGAGAGAAAATAGCAGCTTTAGAAGCGATTATCTTAACGTCGACTTTATGAATATCTCAAAACAAAAGTCGGAAACAGCAATCTGTGTACCGCAACACTCTTAATCCAGATTTGCAGAATGTGTTCAACTTAATAAGTGATTTGAGATGAGAAAGTAAAAAATTACATCTTACTTGTTTGTGAGATAATACAAATTTCTTGCTTGTGCCGTCCATGTGTGATCACAGGCTAATATCGTGTTGCCGTCCATGTGCTATCATAGGCTATTATCATGCTGCCGTCCATGTGTGATCGTAGTCTATTATCATGTTGCCGTCCATGTGTGATTGTGGACTATTATCGTGCTGGCGTCCATGTGTGATCATAGTCTGTTATCATGCTGCCGTCCATGTGTATTCAGACGCTAATACCATTTTGACGTCCATGTGTGATCGTAGTCTATTAGCAAGTTGCCGTCCATGTGTGATCGTAGTCTACTATCATGCTGCCGTCCATGTGTGGTCGTAGTATGTTATCTTGCTGCCGTCCATGTGTGTTCCTAGGTTATTATGCTGCCATCTATGTGTCATCGTAGGCTATTATCATGCTGCCATCCATGTGACATCGTAGACTATTATCATGCTGCCATCCATGTGACATCGTAGTCTATTAGCCTGCTGACGTTCATGTGTAATTATAAGCTATTTTAATGTTGTCTTCCATGTGTTCCTAGGCTATTATCATGTTGCCGACCATGTGTGTTCCTATGTTATTATCATTTTGCCATCCATGTGTCATCGTAGGCTATTATCATGCTGCCATCCATGTGTCATGGTAGGCCATTAGCCTGTTGTCGTTCACGTGTAATTATATTTTATTATAATGTTGTCTTCCATATGTGTTCCTAGGCTATTATGTTGCCGACCATGTGTAATCGTGGTCTGTTATCATGAATCCGTCAAGGCTGATCGCAGTCTGTTTTATTGTTTAAAATTGTTTTATCTGCTACATTTTCGTACACAAATACAACAAGTAAATTGCAAATAATGAATACAATGCGATTTAATTTTGCAACTTATGTAAACAATACGATTTAATTCTTTTAATGACCAACATCATGTGATAACTGCATCCAAGATTATTTTATAGACATCCCCTCTACACTCCTTTGAAATCACCGAAGGACCAGTTGACGGCTATCTTCGTTGCTAATAATAAAATCACCCACCTCTCCTTGCCCACACCTCATCCAACTACAACATTCCTACATTCAGGTACATAGTAATCACCGGAGGTTCGGTGGCTCAGTGGTTAGCGTGCCGGACTCGTAACTGAATGGGTCCAGGTTTGAATCCTACAATCATATCTGCCAGTGTCGACTATCGTGATAAATTATTGGTCAAGGCATTTTGTTAAAATAACCCATTTGAGTTCGGTGCCTTAAAATACCATTAACAACAACAAAGAAATCATCTTCGAATTAGTTTATAAACCCTGGTGGTCCATCTCCTAAACGCAGTCAGTGTTATCGTATATTTTGCCATGATGCATATTCTTCATGAACCTCAATTTATTCTAGTGTGCCTTTTAATTTTTTAAGTGAATATCCCTTATGATATCATAATTCCTTGTGTTGTGCTAAATAAATAGTTTGAGAAGTGAAAGAACGCGTGCTACTCAGATGAGGAGGGGGGGGGGCAATGTTGAGCTCAAAACCGTAAGTGAACGCGCAAAAAAAGTACGCGAATTGCTGTAGTTCCGACAGCACTACACCCCTGCATACCACATGGCTGATTGCATTATGTATTATTTCGAACAAGAACAACAAAAACTCTACTTGTAATTAATTAAAACTCCTGGTAGTACCCCGATTTCATTGTGGTTATTTGTAATACTTAGAAATATTTAACAAACTGACACTAGAACAAACAATCTTTCTAACAGTTTCACAAAATCTGATAAAGCCCAAAACATTCAAGGAACATAATTTAACCCCATAAATATGTAGTTGCAAATTTACGGTTGCTCATCCGTAACATGAATTATCATCTTGGTATGAACACGCGACCACAATGGTATATATACGTTTGTGCATGTGCTTTTGTGTACATTTTTAGCGAATCTTAAAAATGTAAAAAAAAATGTTTAGGACTTTTTATCGAAATAAGAACATCTATATGATTCTAAAGCAATTTTCTATATTTGACAGTTAACACCAGGGCACATAATCACATCAAGGTTATATCGTGTAGAAGCAATTGGAGCAGTGTCTTCCCAGCTAGATACCAAGGCAGCCGACCCTGGTTGATCCGATTGGGGTTAGGGTGGGGGAGGAGTTAGCGGACATCCATCCTGAATAATAAAGGAAATTATTGACTGTGGTGGGTGGAGGGCCTCGCCTACCCACAATCACACATGAAATCCACCACCATCAATTTATTTAAACTTATTTTACCATTTAACACTGTCGTGCTATGAAATAAGGTTAGATCAACCAAATTAGAATTTAGAAAGATTGGTATTTTTTGACCTTGCACGCCCAGGTTACGTGGAAGCTTTATAACCGTAATCTGCCTTGGCTATGGATGAGAAACGGGATTTCGTGCTACCCCTTACCATTAATCAGATATAGATTGTTTAAGCCTACCGAAGTTTATTTGGTGTCTAAATGTTTAATGTAAGACTATTGTACATAGACTTATTGATTACTTACCTATTCTCTTCAACAATGTAGCCAATAATTAGTTCAACAAACTCAATGCATATCTAGATTAAATTACATTCGCAGTTTTCTATAGCGGCCTTATCTTTGTTAGAAGTTATGCATACATGTGA